AGGTATTAAAAAAGTACTTAATGAATCAAAACAATATACAATAGAGTTGTCATTAGAACTAAATTTTCCATCAATGCGAACAAGAAAAAATATAATAAATGTCTGGTTAGTTAGCAGATGATCATCAACATTATCAGAAAAATATATATTATGAGTTTTCATGAAAAACCTTTGTAAAAGAATCTTGAATGGTTTAAAAGAAAAATTTATCTCTATTGATAAATATACAAAAGATTTTTCTTTTTTTGGACAGAAAGTTTTTGTTTACTATGGCAGAATTTGAATTAAACGAAAATTCTATGGACTTTTGTATAAAATTTGAAAAATATATCGTTAAAAATGATTTTTTTTTTAGAGTTGGATAATTTTAATAGACATGTAATTTAATTGGAAAATAAATTAATAGATAGTTGTTCCCGAGAAATTTTTATTGTATTCTTAAAATGTTCTTCAAGATGCTTATCTCAATATATATATATACGGCCTATCGAATATTTCTTACTTTACTCAAGGGTATATTTTGGTAACTTGGGACATCGTATGAACGTAGTTTTATTAAACTTAATCTCATTAAATTATATTTACGATCAACTTCAAAACAAGTAATATTAAATGATCTGTCAATCATATCCATTGAACACAAAATTGTTATATCCATAAATTATGAAGTATTACAAATTAATTCACTTCAAAAAAACAAGAAAAGTATTTGTTTAGTTTATTTCTAGTATATGCTTTATTTGATTAATATTTAATATATTAAGTTTAAACCTACTATCAATTTAAAGTTGAAAAAATGTTTTTACATTTAACTATCAACGATAAATCTCATCATGTTCCTCATTTAGATATAAACATTATTAATTTGCTATCTACACTTATCTACACTATTTCATTAGTCAAAAATATATTTTCAGAATTAAATTTTAGTAATATATTTTTGCTTGATCATCCACATAAATTAATATTAATCATTGCAATAACAAAAAAAAAAAAAAAAATGTTTAAAAATGAGATTTAAAACTTTTTTAACTCTGAGAAATGTATACATCCGACATAATGAATCCACGAAACAAAATGCACAAGCTAACAAAAAAATTGTATTTTCAAATCAATAAATTTTCTCAATTGACTATAACCATTGTTAGGTTCTATATGAATAAAAATGAAAATATTCATTTAATTTTACTATATTTAGATAAAGATTTTAATTGGTTAATATACTTTAAACTTACTTTTCATTATTTATTACTTTTTTTAATAATACAATTTAAAAAAAAATGTATTTACATAATTAATTTTTTTATTTTGAAAATTATTTATTCATTTTTTTATAAAGGCAAAATATAAAAACACATTTTTCTCTTAACCAATCTCCATGACTATTATGATATTATCAAATAAAAAAATTGTATAACTATTAATGTTTTTTAAACATTGGCCTGTTGGGAAATGGCGACTTTTTTTTCACTCATTTATAAAATCGACTATCTAGTTGTTTTTATACATCTATATTTTTATCTAAAATGTATTTATATTAGATAATACTTTAAAATAATATGAAAATTATCTTTAATTCATTGCATTTATGTAACTTTTTAAAAACAGAATCAAGATAAATATTATTTTATGTATTTAATATCAACAAAATTTGATTTAGTAGCATTTTTTTTATAATTAAACTTCATAAATATGTTCTTTATTTATTATTTATTTTATTTTTTTTTATCTACAAAAATGTATAACCATTACATTTAAGTTAATATAGAACAGAATTTTCAAAAAAAGAATGATTTTTTTGTGAAATTTTTAGTTTTATTATTTATACGTTTGATTAAATTGCTATTAGTTTTAAAAGTAATTTTTTTGTATTATTAATATAATTGTTTAGAATTTTAACAAATCGTAAGGTATATTATTTTTATATTTCATACTATTATAATTGAAACATTATTTGGTGATTTATATTTTATTTTTATTCAATACGTTTATGGATTTTTCTAATCATATTCTAATTTAAATTATTTTTATAGGCAATATTATAAAAAAATATAAAAAAAAATATTTTGTTTATTTAATGGAATGCGTATAAGTTGTATTACATTACTTCAAATATTGCGTTGATATTTACTCATTATATCTTCACATTCTTTTCCTCATGCCCAATAATATTATCTTAAGCCGTATTGAAAATTTTTCTATATATATTTTTTACTTTATTCATATATGCATTAAGCAAGAACATTGTATTTTAATACCTTATTTTTTTAATCATTTTGTTGTTTTGGAACTTCGAAAATCCTTGATATTTTTCCTTATTCTCAAACCACTTTTTGATACTATGTTCAAATTTTAATGTACATTTGAACGAAGCGCCGTTATTAAATCTTGCATAATTTAACTTCACTGTTGAATAGACCATTAGAATTAATTGACAATATTAACTAATCGGATTATCAGTGGAACAATTAAAACATAAATAAAATAATTTTTGTAACTTTTAAAAAGTGTCTTTTTTATTTCCGACAGTAAATTTATCTACATCACGAAGTAGGTAGTAACTACGAAAAATATTAGACAAAGTGCACTTATTCGTAAAATCGTATGAGTCTGTATCTTAACGGACCGGCTCATTACATATTTGGTGTCAGGTTTGTGCTCAATTGAAATATGTTTAGCTATTTCTGAATTCAAAGATAGTCCAATAAGTAGTTTCTGACCTTTTGACGAATCATTGTTACAAATTCCATTTTCAACCAATTTTGCAGAGTCAAGTACATCAGAGGCAGATCAGAGAGCGATTACGAACATTCCAAGAGCATTTCCAAATTACGAGTATTCAAGCCCATCAGAGCTTTCTACAAGAGCTGCCAACACAAGCAGTCAACGACCATTAACCAGAACCAATTTAAACTTAAACTCATTCAAACATGGATAAATTTTAAGTTATTTGAACAATTAATATATCTGTCTGAAAGCCTGGGTTAGTTTAAAATTTCTTTTTACTGTTAATGATACTTAGAAATGGGGAAAAATATTTAGGAGCTATTGAATCCGAAGATTCTAATTTAGGCATGTTAATTTATTACATGATCAGTGACTCAAATAGTAGTAATTTAATCGATCTGAAAACTACTTTTCAACCCAATACTATGGTTGGAATTATATAAGAAATAACTGCGACCATTATCAGTTTCAGGGATGCAATAAATCAAATACCAGTAGTGCCGTAAAAATAATAGGTGCAGGCGGTGCACAGCACTGGGGCCCGCAGGATCAAAGGGCCCATTACTATGGGCCCTTTGATAGGCCCTTTAATGAAATGATCCATTTACTGATAGCCGTAATTTTTTTTTTTTTTTTTTTAATTTGATTTAATTTGATTCATGATTATTGTATTATTATATTGTATTTAATTTTATGTAACAAAATGTAAAAGTCTGGTCCGTTGTATTTTTAATTGTTTATCTAAATGTTGGGAAAAATACTAAGCCTAGAGTGACATAAATAGATTAATTTTATACATATATATATTTATACTTTTATATTTTATTGTAAATAATAATTTTAAAATAAATAATCATATATGCATATGATATATTTTATCTATCTTTGTAGTTTATTATATAAGTTTTTTTATTAATAAAATCTACCCAATATACAATTGTGATTTTGTATACCTATTAAGTTGAAGCTTTACACAGAATTGTTTCAGCGAGAAAAATATCTATCGGTTCTTTAAAATTCAATACATCACAAATACTATCCAATCTAAGGAGTAAAAAATTCCCTTAGCCTGAAGTCAATTCAACTTTTTTACGTGTCTCAAGAAAGAGAGGTCCGTGTATATTTGTCTGCACTTGGGTCTTGATACTCTAGTTATGAAAATTATAGTTATGGCATTGAATACCAGTATTTTCGGGGGGTCATCAATTATATTTATTAGTAAATAGGAATTCATGTTTAGTCACACTGATCCGGCAATTGAATCAATTTACTTTACTTTCTCAAAATTTATGTTTTGCTTTATTAAACTGTAAGTAGTCGTGTGTTTTCGAAATTTAATTTAGGTTTTCATTTTTTTTTGCTTAAAATGTTTTAACTTTTCAAAACGACGAGACTTGTCTAATTTTTGTATTGGATATTTTAGAGTTGGATGTAAAGCCTTTACAGGGCTCTTTATCAATTTTAGCTGGTATAAATTCGTCAAAAGTGTTGTAGCCCTTACATGTTTCGTTAAAGCGAAAAATTTGTTCTCTGATTAATTATTTATCCGAGTCGTAGGTGATAATTATGATCTTTCCACTAGATACGTACAAACATGTGTTCTGAAACTGTAAGTTATAGAAAATCATCGTATTCATTTTTATTTGTCTTATTTATCAGTTTTTGGATTCATCTGCTGGATCTTAAAGTACTTGAGTCTCCCATATTTTGTTTGGTTCTCCAAAAGTTTAAAGGATTTATTTCTGGACATAAAAGGAAATTAAGAGTTATCTTATATGATGACTAATGGAATTGTTTGTAAGTTGAATATAATTATTTGGTTTTAACTAATGCTAGAACATTTTAATTAGGCTTTATGCAATGACAACTGGTTGGTTTGAAAACAGATTTTGGTATTAAATGTTACAATGTTTATTCATTGTGAAACGTTAATGTTAATATAATTATAAATTAAATTATTTACCTGAAAAATATACCTTATACATATATCACCCCATATGGCTAAATATGGCTAATAACTGACTTTTTTTTACAACATACGTTGTATATATTAATAATATACATATATATTCAATCGCCATACGTTTTTATTTTTTTTTTTTTTATCAAAAAACGATTGATACAAACATAATAATTATATTGCAATCACAGTCGTAGAACAATAGCTCTTTCTCTTTCCAAAGGACTATAGCTTTAATATCGGTGCGAACAATGTCCGTCATGGCAACAAATCTGCGTTTGATCGATTTGACGAATCGTTCACCCACCAAATCCAGGGCTGTTTTTTTTCTTCCGGTTTTTTTTTATGTTTTTTCGATAATTTTCTCGATACACCCACACACATAGTTGGATTCGCCACTTGCAAATTAATAATGAACAGTTTTATGAAATACGACCACGGAACATTGGCGAGTGCATTTTTCGAATGCACCCGTCGCACTGACGCCGATTTTCGTAGGAGGACCTACGACCTGAGTAAGACACCACACATTTTACTATATTAAAACAATATGTTATCACTTATTTTAACATTATATTATAATAACGTTTTTTTCGTTTTTTTATAAAATACGGATGCACCATCATGTATTGTTGAAATTATTTACGTAGACGCAGTTACTAGATGCCGATGTAATCGTATGCACTTTGATCAATAATAACAACTTTTAAAAATAGAAAAATATTTACTGATCCGTTTTATTTATTGTTGAAAATTAGTTTTTATTGATTTGTCACCGAGTCCACGTAGGCGCAACTAATTTTAACTATGAGTGACGTATCTGTATAAAATAATAAAACCTCCTTAGCTCGTTTCGCTCAAAATCAATTGATTTTTTTTTTCATTATAAAGTAGTTTTGGCTAATGAAATTCTGAGAACAAAAGCTTTTAAAAATTTAAAATCCTACACTTGTATGCATAAAAAAATAATCAATGATATTTATTTGTTTTAAATGATATGGCATGTTTACGAGTGTCAAATATGAATTATGTAATAACTCAATATTTGTGACAATAGTTAGAAACTATAGTACACAATAAGAAAGTTACATGTTTTATATAGTAACATTTTGTAATTATCAATTTTTTTATTTTCTATCAAATACATAGTTTTTTATACTAGTTAGAACGATAATGTTTCCATTTCCGTTTAATGGAGGTTCCATATTACACAGATAATATTAGTGTATATTCGAAATGCTATTGTAGTAATTTTTCGTCCTTATAAGGATTCTGTTTGACAGAGGATCCATGAGGATCCGTTATAAGGAGGTTTCACTACATTATAAAATTAATGGTTTTATGGAAAAGTAAAATCGCTTGCCATTATATGTATACATATTAATATAGACAAATGTGCTTGAAACATTTAATTTTATTTAACGTTCAATGGGGAAAAAAAATAATAATGATAATTGACAACTTATCGCGTAGTTTAAATTTTTCCACTTGTCTCACGAAAAACAAAACTTTGAAAAATAATATTATTCCTTCATTATAGTATAATATTAAATACCGATGCCGTAGCTACAGAGTATCATCGAAAGTAAAAAAGTTTCCGTACAGTTTGTTACCGTGCATTGAAAGTTTCGGTAGTAGTTTATGAATTCCACGTAAAATATCCTCAAATATTCAGTAAATCGTATATTAATACATCTATGAGAAATTAATGACTTGAAATATTTCAATAAATAAAAATAAAACGTCAATTAATGTATCATATATTATAAAATATTGTGATCCTCACATATTATGTTGCATTATTTATTTAAATTAATTTGACACTTCGTGATGCTTTATACTATCAGTATATCTATAAGTGCATATGATAGTAATTAGATTTGCTTTCAAATTAAGTTTGTTGCCGTCTCAAAGTCGCTCGTAAACTCAAAAACTACGATTTTGTTTACAATTTGTACAATTGAAATCAGTTTTTCTTTTACAATTTACTGTTACGGCTCAAGGCCAAAGTAATTATATTAAACAAAAAGTACACAATGTTTTTACTTACAAATGTGATTTAAACAGTTTATCGTTGTAACATCAAAGAATTTAGTGAAACGTAGTCGATAAAATTTTTATTTTCACAAATACTTTTTATAGCAACAATAAAATATCTACAAGATGTTTTGATATAATAATCGAATAATTTTTCAACAAATGGTCTGAATTTTGTTCTATTTTAAATCAAGTCATTCATAAAAATGTTTCGACAATCAATGAACATCGCCCCACTTTCCATATATCAATGTACAATGTATATATATATATATATTATAAATATACCATAGAGTGTGTGTTAAAGTATTTGAGGGAAATGTATTACATTTAAATATCTAAAGAGATTTTTTTTTTGTTTCGTGTGTTTTTGTTTTTCGTGAAACAAAAATCTCCACTATTTTCCAAAACACTTTATTCGCCCTACCGTATCCGATGCTCGTGGTTCTTCTTCATATTGTATTTTTTTCTTTTTGGCGTTTCTAATGTATCTGTTGTATTTATTATTGCAGATTATCAAAATAATTCATACCGTTTTAAATCCTTTCCCATTGCTTCTAGTTCTATCCAGCCCAAGAGTTTCCCTCGGTTTTGTTGGTATATTTCACGCGCTTTATGCTAATGCTGTTCATGCTTTTCTAAAATACTCGGATGAAATCATGTTATAACACTTGTTCTATTATACATTTTCTGTTTTTCACATTTAAAAACCATATTCACCCAAACTGTAATTTATTTTCCAATTGCTCTTTGTTTGTTTATTTAAATTTAAATATTTTTACCAGATGCACGTTTTAAATATGTATTATTTGCTATATTTTCAACCCTATTACTATTATATATACGCTGATAGCGTACATCACATTTAATCAAAGTATTTTTTTCTAGATTTTAGATTTAGGATTAGTTATTTCTCTATTTACACATCATGTGATTATACATTATTTTATAACTAAAACTCCCTTGCTATAGATACTTTGTTCGTGTAGCGTTGATATATTTTTTTTTACATCATTTTTTTTACCGTTAGAATTTTACAATATAGCTATAAAACTATTGAAATTATAAAATCAAATTTTATTCCATCCCTGTAGTTATGTTATAACATGTCAAATCGTGGATGAAGGAAATATAAATTAACAAAGTAATTTTCGTTTAATGGAATTTTGTTCCGTCGAATTTTAACAATGTTGACGTTTTATAAATTTAAATAAAATGTTTATTTTTATTTCATAATAAACGTGAACTGAATGACTATATGGTTTTATAAAATTTTTGCTAATAATTCGATTCGAATTATCTTCTAAATAAAACTGACTTTTCTAAAAATTACGTTAATCTGATTTTACTTTGTAAACAGTTTATTAATTAGAAAAACAAATTAACGCAATGCAATAGTATATACGTAATTAATTTTTCAATCATTTACCTTGTGAAAGTTTTTTATTTTTCATCGCTTACTAATGTATAATCCGTACAAAGTTGAATTAATTGGTTGATTTGTAATATTCTAGTATATGTATTTAATTATCAACATTTTTTAATTATTATTTTCAAATAGATAAGTGGTTTAAGCGTATTTTTTTTACTTTCAGTATTTCAGTTATTATTGTTACATTTTATTATAATATTCTACATCATCTGCTTCTAGAGAAAATATCATTTTATCCCTGGATGGTTAGCACGTTTTGTATTAAATGATCTTCTCAGTTTATAATAATTTGAATTGAAGGTTTCTTATAATTTGAAAAACATTTGATATATACAAAAAAATATAATTCTATGAATATTCAAACGCTTATTATCTGGTTTGAAAATAAATTTTCTACACAAAATTTGGTTGAATAATGAGACATGAAAGAACTATTCATTATATAAAATGGAAAATAAAATGAAATATTATTACACTCAGTAAATATATCTTTATTTTTAATCTTATAGTGAAATAAAACTGTTTTAATTATTTATATTTAACGGAAACATTTTTATACACAGGGATAATATTTTACTAAATATATATATAAATACTATATCTAAAAAAATTAAAAAAAAAAATTAAAATCTTTCGCCAAGATGATAAATTGATTTTATTTTATATAAAGTTATATTATATATTATATAATCTGACACGTATTTAAATGACTAAAAGTTTTGTCATTCTTTCATATTTTATAATTAGAAAATCAAGTAAAAATTATAAATTTTACATAATATTTGATAATATTATTAAATAATTACTATCAAATTATGTCTAGTGATAATGCATTCCGTTTAAATGTGTTATAATTTATAACTTATAAACCTTGTTAAGTTTCAATATTAAATATTTACAATTACCAAGAGTTACGACAACCGTAATGGTCAAGTCCGACAACAATCAATAAATAAATAATAACTATTAAAGAGTGGAAAATCTACACGTGATGTATAAATAATACATTCATATAAATGTGTGTCATATATTCAGTGTCGATCCGGGCAATGTATGTATAAATAAATAATTGTCAATTTATTAGATTAGAACAGACATTAACGATGCCTTGTGCCATAGAATATCTCCAATCATATGTTAAGCGAACGATAAATAAAAAATGTAGCTGATAAACCGATAACGTATAATATGTGAAGCAGTGACGTATTTACGAGGGTAATATATGGAGGATAGATACGCCAGCTCAATCATTTTTCAATTACATTACTTTTTTTAATTATTGAATGTTTGAAATCCTTATAAATACGAAAGAAATAGTAAACATTTTATCCTAATTTTATTTATCTTGAATACATTTTGTTGTAAATAAAAAATAAATGTAAATTTTGTTTCCAGAGTAGTTAGTTAGTGGAAAATTAGTAACTATATATCTCCGCTTCCTTAAGGAAAAACCTATAAATGCCACTGACTTGAAAACACATGATTTCGTTTAAATATACAGGCGTTGACGGTCACCTAAAACATAACATTATAACATATCCATCACCCCTGATGTGCGTTCACAGTGCATATTATAGTTTTCAAATTGTTTTAGCACCACTGTACAACACTCATAAAACATGATATTGAGATTTATTTTCGGTAGAAGAAGACTTAGTACTTTTACGATCGCAGTCCTTTAACATAAAATGTAAATCTCACCATGAGCGTCGAATTTATAAGGCTTTTCACTATTATTAACGTTACGCTTTTAGCTAAATTAAGAAAATTTTACGCACGTTCGTATATGCATGGATACAAGACATGAAATGAAAACGGAACCTTGGCTCATCTGTTCACTGAGTATATTTTATACTAGGAAGAACAGACATTTGGGGAAATGTTGATGATATTTTTTTTCACTTCTATTGTGTTTTATTGTTAATATTGTATTATATTGTATTTGATTTATATTAACTGAAAAATATTCAAAATAAAATCACTCTGTTGAAAATCAATTCATCGAATTGAATTGGTAAGTAATTACAATTAAATTTTGACACTGAAATTAATGACGTTCATTAATCATTGTAGTTTTATTATCTTTATTCGGATAAAAAAAAAAAAAAATATTTTTAATCTTAACTGAATTGTTTTTAAATTTACTAAGGCACTTTGATAAGGTTTCAAAAAACTTTTAATTTTTGTGTTATTTTTTACGCGTAAAGAACTTGGAACAATGAAACATAATTTAAAAATGTTTAAAAATACGCATTATTATAAAATTAATAAAATGTACAACGTATTGTATGTAAAAAATGTTACTCCAATGGAAAATAACAAAAACAATTTTTTGCTGCTTTTTATTTATTTATTTATTAATTTTTTTTTTTTGTAACACTTAAGCTGGTGAGAAAAATATAATTAAATGGTCTGTCAGGTGGATAGTTTAAAAGTTGTTGGTCGAGTACCAATGGTTTTTGCAGTATTAAGTATACAATATGTAGTCCATGGAAGATGCAGCGAAATAACTCCTTGGATAACTCAATCGTTATTGTATGAGAAAATAAAAAACCAAACGCTGGGGTATATAACACGAATACAATTTTCTGTGACTGGGAGCTCGGGAATTTTGAAATCATGACAAATCCGCGGAAGCGCAATTACCCAGGTCTTGTTTGTTTACATTTAATTTCCGGTTGTTCAGTCGTAACTCATAATAATATGTACGTCGCGCGCGATTATTGAAACGAATAAGAGGTTCGTCGTTCAACAGCTGCAGTAAAAAAAACACCCACTCACTTACTCGCACGCTACAAGTCACCGTAACTCCTCACAGCCGCCTTGAACCGAAATCCAGAAATCGAATTTCGTGTCAGGCATTGCGTTCGCATTGTCGTTGACAATATCTTTAATGTACGAGTGTATGATATTAATTCGCTTGTAAACAGGGACACGCGCATGTATAATCGTATTCGTACGTCGGTCGATTTTTGCATATCCGCTCATAACCGACGTAAGTATGACATAAGTATGAAATATTACTCGTACTCGTACTGGTCATGGAGCAATGCGATTACGGTGCATCTGAAAAAGACGGGTAAGGATAAATTATTGCTCTGCATAGTTACAAATTGAATATTCCATTTCTGCGTTGTACGCGTGCACAAAAAGTTTTAACAACTGTTTTACGTTGTCGTTATAAACATTACAATCGTAGTATTTCCAATGTGTACAAGATTATAACGTGCGTATAAACGTGATCCAATGATCCAACGATTGAGTGCTATCTAAGTTTGTGTAACGATGAAACACTATGTATGCAGCGCTATTGAATATTAATTTCTTATGGTTGAGTCGTTTGTTTAAGTAGAGCAACGGACAATAAACAAACGACGAGTTCAGCTTTGCCGGTGGTTGCATTTTTGACACTCGTCATCGGTATATATTTTATCATTGTATACCTATTATCATACGTATCAAACGGGACTTTGAATTGTTTTCCAAAGGTTTTTTTTTTGTGATCCTCTTATCGTCTTAAATTGGTAGCATTTACTTTTGAATGAGAATATAAATGATTATTTCGCGGTCTCTGACTATTGAGAAATTTTATTTTTTATTTCATTATCTTCTTGTTTTAGAGTATTTGAAGATAAAAAGGTGTTTTTGGTTTTCGGATCCTATAATCTAATTTAAATTTTATTTTATAATTTTATATAATTACATAAACTATCATGTACTTACACTCATTTGGTATGATAGTTATAAATAATTTTCGGATAATAGTTATATTAAGACTCAAATATTTTTCCTTTTTTAAAACACATATTTTTTTCCAAAATAGTCGAAAAATAAAAATTATAGTACTTTATTTAAGTATTTTTACTAGAGAATTTATAATTCACAATATCCTTAATATCCATTCAACCTGTGGGTGTTATATTTATAATTAAACACTCAAATATAATATTATTAATTCACTGATGATCTCAAAAAATGCAAAATCTCACCCAACATGGAAGAAGCATTAGGATCAGTCACCGAAATCATCGGAAATATAATAATCTTCTTAGAAAATACTGATCTGTATAATTAAATTTGGCAAACCTAGACAACACATTATAATATAAATAACCATTGTCCATATTTAATCATTCAAATAATTTCTACATTATGTACCGGGTTTTTAATCCATAAGCTTATAGCATTGTTGCTGATGTTTTTTAAGGTATCAGGTGTGTGAATAAGTCTTTCCCGTTTTTTTTCAAATTTTGAGCCTTTATTGTGAAAAAATGGTTACAAATGAATTATTGAAAGTATTGGCCATCGCTAGCTACAACTTTTCCCCATCTTTCTGGCAACATACGAATCCCGTTGCGAAAAAATTCGACCGGTTTGGCCTCTATCCAGTCATCCACCCATTTTTTGGCTTCCTCGTAGGAATGGAAGTGCTGGTCAGCCAGGCCATGCGTCATCGATCTGAAGAGATGGTAATCAGACGGAGCAATGTCTGGACTATACGGCGGGTGGGGTAGGACTTCCCATTTGAGCGTTTCTAAGTATGTTTTCACCGGCTGTGCAACATGTGGGCGAGCATTGTCATGTTGCAAAATAACTTTGTCGTGCCTGTCGGAGTATTGTGGCCGTTTTTCTCGCAGTGCGCGGCTCAAACGCATCAATTGTCGTCGATAGACCTCGCCTGTGATCCTTTCATTCGGTTTCAGAAGCTCATAGTAAACCACACCTAGCTGGTCCCACCATATACAGAGCATGAGCTTGGCGCCATGAATATTTGGCTTGGCCGTCGATGATGATGCATGGCCGGGTAGTCCCCATGATTTTCTTCGCTTCGGATTATCGTAACGGATCCACTTTTCATCGCCAGTCACGATACGATGCAGAAAACCCTTTCTTTTATGTCGCTGAAGCAGCTGTTCGCAAGTGAAAAAACGCCGTTCGACGTCTCTCAGCTTCAGTTCGTACGGCACCCAATTTCCTTGCTTTTGGATCATTCCCATGGCTTTCAAACGCTTGGAAATGGTTGTTCGGTCAACTCCCAATGCTTCAGTAAGTTCTTCTTGCGTTTGACACGAATCTTCATCAAGCAAAGTCGCCAATTCTTGATCTTCAAAGATTTGCGGCCGCCCGGAACGCTCCTTGTCTTCCACGTCGAAATCGCCACTTTTGAAACGTCGAAACCATCCACGAACACTTGAATCATCGACATAACCTTCTCCATAAGCTTCCTGAAGCAACCGATGCGCCTCGGCAGCAGATTTCTTCAAATTGAACCAATAAAGTGAAACTTCCCGCAAATGACGTCGACTCGGCTCAAATTTCGACATTTTCACGATTACAAAAAATTTATGATGCGAAAAAATTTCAACTAATGTGTTAGTGTGGAATTGTTGACAGATGAATAAGCTTTGATTATGACATATGTAACCATTAAATACTCGCACAGTATTGGTGGCACCATCTCTTACAAAAAACGGGAAAGACTTATTCACACACCTGATATATAAAATATATATATATATTTACACTATATTACACTATATTATAATTATTTTATTTATTGTATACTTTTAATATATATATATATGATCCCTGTTTCAAATGTTTACGATTTTCAACGGATGGTAAACGGGAAACGAACGTATGAAAAATCTACAAAACAGCAATATTTGTATAACAACGTAATAATATAATACATACTCAGTAATTGATTATAAATTTAAAAATTAAATCATTCAAACGGAGTTTCCACTTTTTACAGGAACCGCGATGTACAAGAGCACATATCAAAAAGAATTCTATTGGCCTATACACGTATCGAAGTCCAATAATCATGAGTATGTACTACTGAATTATTATAACGATATGACATAATGTGTGATCCTAAGTCAATAATTTATAATACATACCTACTAATTAAAATGTACATAGTACTCGAGTTTTATTCAGTACACAGTTTATAATGATAATAATAACATTTTGCTGACATGTTTCGATGAATTACCGAACACTTGACTAATAACAGTTTAGAGTATAACGCGTTTAACAATTTACATGCATTACTGACATTATATAACAACGATTATCCATATTATCTCGTTAAGCCACGAAGTAATTACAGAGTTGAACCAGGATTTACTTTGATATCAAAACTGAACGAAGACGAGTTCAAACAGTTGTATTCTACCAAAATTATATGTAGAAAGCTGAGCAAAAATAAAGGAATCGAACCTCCTTTGGAATACTCAAACGGCGTCCTGCCAGAAGTAAGTGGTACCTCTTGTGTTACTTCTTAGCAAAACATTAAGTCAAAACTATTAAAACACATCACGAGATGTATTGATTTAAACAGCTTGGACATATAATGTTTCTAACGTGAACTTCTATTGACATTTCCTTGGCCATCACTTCAGCTAATAAGCATTGTAACAAAACAACAGCCATTACGGCCAGATAATCAAGAAATTACAATACAATACAATAAATAAATACAAATTATTGAACAAATAACAGTTTGTTATGTTACTATTATGTTTATTGTGTTAGTTTTTTTACTCAAAACTATAATGAGCAATGAATAAATTATAAATTAATAAATTAATTTATTCTTATTATAAAGGTTGAATTTCGCCTGAAATATAAAGACTAATGTTATAGTTTATATTCGTACAGGCCTCATACGAATTACGGGACCTTTTCCGTTAATTCACAACCACTATTTTATTTTTATTTATTTTTGTTATTTTTCACACCTTATCTAGGTTATTACGTATTATAAAACTATAACTTTGTGAATTATCGTTTATTTATAGTATAATACCTTGTATTTGTAGTCTAGATATATAATATACTGGCGCAGCAAGGTTTTAGGTTCACATACAAAGCATAATCTCATTTGCAACAGTATCAAGGTTTGTACAAAAACTAGGTTAGGCTTAGACTATAATTTCTATTAAGGCGAAGCTCCGTCCCCCCAAAAAAGTGGCACTCTGTGGCACTCGAATTCGTGAGTGGAGCCGGCAACAGTAACGAGCGAAGTCCTTAAATGTTTAAAATTAATGTTTCGATTTTTCGAAAAAAAAAATACACACAATTTTCGTTATGATAAGAGATCAAAATACCTTCTGCTTCGGATTAATAGCCACTAATCATTAGACTATGAGTTTAATTTATATTAGAAAAAATAATATACAGTTTTTAGAGCAATAGAACATTTATCGAGTGGTAGTGAATTAACGGAAACCAAAAATTGTAGTATTAGTGATAAACACGTAAATAACCTCGATTATTGATACCTTATCTGTAAAAGATACTTTTTAAAATAAAATAGAATCCGCTAATTACGAACAATTTTGAACCAAGGTAAAATGTGTTAATTAACTGATTATTTATAATAATGTGATTGGTTTTATTTATTATGAAAAAATTTAACTCTCTTCTCTTGCCTACTATTCCCCTGATGTTATCCTCCTTCTTAATTCTTATTTTCCTTCCATCGTCTCACTCATCATTAATATTATCCTCAATGCAGATTTCCCAATATAAATTATGATAATTTATTTTAATTTATTGTAAAATATCACACCGTCTCATATACACAAATAATCCTTAAAACTGTATTTGAAAAAAAAAACTTAATCATCAAGCTTTAATATTCTCAGAATAAAGGCAATAAATAATAAAAAATAATAAAATAAATTAGTAGTTTTTACCTATTAACATACTCAAACTATTATGTTTAATAATATAGGTAAATTAAATCTATGATACATTTTTTATACTCCTATATATATATATATATATATATATATATATGTATAGAAGTTAACAGTAAATCATATATTTCAATAATAAAATTTTATACTAATATAGATATTTGCTATCGTATTTTATTTTTATCATAAAATTTAAAATTACTCCCCCACTTAAAATTTTTTTAGTTGCTATTGAAAAATTTATAGTGATAAGGGGCCTCAAGATTTTAATTTACACACAGACTTCATATAGTCTAGTTACTATTTAGTAATGTTTTAAGTTATAGCATCAGTTTCACTGTGACATTCACTTCAATTATTTAACGTACAGTCTAACATAATATTATTGATAGAAAATATTATTATAATACTATAGTATTAATAATCAATGATATGATTTTTGATTTCAACTTATATACAATGATGGAAAATCTTGAAATAATTAAAATAAATACTGGTATCAACAAACAATTGTAATAAATGAATGAATATAAATTTGCTTTCCATACGTTTTTCAAATAATTTGGAAGAATTTCAATTTAACGATAACCAATTTGGGTGAGATAAAAACTAACAAAGACGGAATTTTCGCGAGAAAACCACGGATTCAGTTCGGACATAATAACATTTATGAATTTTTTTTTTATAAACCTCGAATAGTCATCTGTTTTTGAATATTTCACCGAGTATTTTGTTTATAAAATGCAATGCGATCGATGTTTAATGATTATACTATATATATAGCTATATAGGTATCATTATAGACACTAGTAAACGTTATATTTATTTTGTATTTCAACATTGAGGTGAAAATCACCAAATTCTAAAACGTCATTTTTGTGATTTTAGCAAATACGGTGTAAATTATTCCAGAAAAAATTGAAAAAAAGCCAATAGGTATCTTTGGAAAAAAAAAAAATCAAGATCTTATTTTATAAATATTTTTTTTATATTCATACACACACACACATACACACACACACACACACACACACACTCACACA